TGGTTGCCTCCCATACGTGCCCTGACCAGGAATCGAATCCAAAACCTTTTGGTGTGCGGGACAATGCTCCAACCAACTGAGCCACCTGGCTAGGGCATAATGTTGTGATTTTCAAATGAATAATTATAAAAATAATCCCTTTAAAATAATTTTAATATTCGTGTGGTGTTTAGACACATAGATAACAAACTTATTTCCATACTTTGTCCAGAGTCAACAAGAAAGGAACAGAAGTGGACTTAATACACAAGGAATAAGTTCGAGCCAAGTGAAGGTCAAATGACATCATGATGTATTATATGAATCAAAGTTTCATAGAAGCGTGAACAGAGAAAGATGGTGGGAGGACTGAATCATCAGGTGGCACCCAGCAATAAAGGCATGCTGAACTTAAAGAGCCAGGGAACAACTGAGTTTCAGCAAAAAGATAATTTTATTGGATTTGAAGTTTGTTTTTATTTAATATATAAATCCGTTTTTGTCTATATTTGCATACAAGTTTTATATAGCAACTTAAACCTCATTTTGCTTGTACACACTTAAGTAACATTATAGTAAAAATAATTTAAGTCAGCATTTCAGGGCCAAGAGAAATTATTTCCCTTAAAGGGAATCTGTACATTCCTCAAGTTTGAAAACTACTACTGTAAGCAGCAAGAAGCCTAAAAAGTTTTGAAGTAGAATGAGATGGTGAGATTTATCACCCTCCTTGCTTAAGATTCATATCTTTACCAAAAACTGTCTTTCATCAGAATGCTGTCTAATTTCCCCTTAGTAACTAGGAAACATTAAGGCATAGACCATGTCCCATTCATTTTTGCTTACCCCACTGACTCTAAAATAGAGCTTCATATACAGTGGCATTAAGAAGAATTTACTCAAAGAATAACTATCCTAAATGAGGAGTTCCAGAAACATTCTGACTGTGGGCTAAACAACAATCTCCTTAGACTAATATACAGCTCGTGTAGATGGTTAACTTCTGAAATGCTTGTCAAAAAAAACAGGCACTCCTCTGGTGGGCACACCTCAGATCTTAGGTTGTTTCTGTCACTCTCACATAAGATAGAGAAGTTGGAAGGCTGGGTTCTGTCCCTTCATTCTCCTATTTCCCCTACAGTGGAACCTGGCACTGGTCCAAAGCAGACCCTAGGAAGATATCTTGAATGAAACCAAGTTGAAGGCATAAATGTTACAATCTCTTGATGTTCTCAAGAAGCTACTGGAGCTCAGGAGGAAAGTTCTGAAGCCAATAGACTTTGGAGGTAGATTACACGATTTGCAGAGACAGGAAGTGAGAAGGGAAAAGTGCCATGGGACAAAATGCAGCAGGTATCTTGCCCTAAGGCTGCATCCTAGAAGATAAGATACTAGAGGTTTAGGTGAAGGGTGCCTAGTCATTGCTTGGTCACATTTCTAATTCTCAGACTAAAATACATTGGAGAGAAGAATGTAATTAATTTCCAAGAGATATGTTCAAATTCTAGTGCTTGGAAAAGGAGGGATGATAGAGCTGGGATTAAAGAAGCATTACAAAAAGTAGAATGTATCAGCCATTATTCCTGAAAACGAATATATAGCCACACACATTATAAATATGATCATTTACTGTGGTTTGGAGTATCAGGTAATAAAGGCGTAATAGAGTGACACACAGACATGAGGCAGACAGACAAGTGCTGGCCTGTAAAGTACAGAGAACAACACACTCCTGCCACTGCTGCCAAGGGAGCTCAGCCTCATCTAGGACAAAGGGGCCTTTCTGCTGGGCATGTGGAGTGGAAAGAAGTCCACTTTTTTACTGCTAGAAAGGCCTGAGGCCAGTGGTACTACAAAGGCCTTTTGTCTACTGGGAGGACACCTTGATACAAGCCTGAGCACAGACCTTTGGCACACAGGAACTCCTCTATCTGCACCCTACACTGCAGTGAGACAGGCAGGAGTCACTCTAGACCAAGGTTTCTCAGTCTCTGCACCATTGATATTTTGGACAGGATACTTCTTTGTTATGGGGGGTTGTCCTGTGCATTGTAAGATGTTTAATAATATCCCTGGCATCTATGCAAAAGATGCCAATGGCATACTGCCAGTCATGACAATAAAAAATGTCTCCAGATACTGCTAATTGTTCCCTGGGGGACAAAATTGCCCCTAACTAAAAATCACTGTTCTAAATACTGTATTATGTGACGCAGAGGGTCTATAAGGGGGTCGCTGCAATCCAGTGAGGAAGGACTCAGAAGACACTCGACCCCTATAGAGCTAAGCTATAGGGAAAAGGATAATGGCTTCAGTATGTCAGGCCAAACCTCAAGGCAGCTGGTTTTAATTTTTGTTTTCTGTGTTCGACATATCACTGTTACCTAGGCAGATGCCCCACCTAGATAGGGCGTGGCAGCATGGTGTTGTCCAACCAGAGTCACTGCAGTCTGAACAAAATAAGCCCGGATGAGCTGCATTCTTGTCAGAGAGCAACCCTGTGTTCCAGCATGAAGAGCTCATTTAGCAGTCAAGTTGAGATATCAGAGTCCCTTGTCCCTAAGTTTCAAGGACCTAAAAGTTAAAAGCCTTGTTCTGCTTTCTCATTCCACAAGAGAAAATGAAGTTTCTCTGAGCTAAAGTGAGGAAGAAGGCAACAGCAGGTACAGAGAGCTGTGGCTGTCTGTGAAAGGCAAGGAGAGCTTAGTACAGAGACAAGCTCCAAATGACTCACATGTCCAAATCCAAGCAGGACATTCAAACAAGAGGTAGTCTGTCATCAGTCCCTCATCCCCCAGAGCCTGTCCATGTGGCCCCTAGAGAGATCAAAGACTACATCTCTGGGCAAAAAGGCAACACTACACAAAATCAAAGAAGGCTGACCCCTGGAGTTTCCAGCAATAAACAGTCCTTCATAAGAAGAATGAATAAGGTGACTAAATTTGTAGTTTCCAAACTTTTTAATGACATAATCTACCTGTAAAAAGTTTTTGAGCACACATTGCCAATATATGAATATCTGACATCAGGTATATTGTAAAACAGACATAAAAATTAAGTGTGAGACAAAAATAAATGCAATATAAATACAAGATCTAGTATTTTCTTATACACCCCAATTGATTGTCTTGTGTGGGCCATGCCGAAGTGTGCATACTGCCATTGCAAACTAGTGGACTAA